ATTTCTTTTCTATTGTTGAATTCTGTTGATGACCAATTTGATGACATTGTGACAATTTCACAGTTCTCCCATCTAAAAGGTTCCTTTATGTACCTAGAGACTAACAACTTGAACGCATTGCTTTCTTTTCTATTGTTATTTCTATTGATGACTAATTTGATGATATTGTGACAAGCTAATTGAGCCATGGATACAATTAATATCAGAAGATGAAATGTCAATCAATTCTCCAAGTTATTTTTATCCTTTATTCTTTTATTTCAACCTTTAACACACACACACTCACACACAGGGAATTTACCTTTTTTTCACAAATATATTGTGAATAAAATAAAGTATATAAATAAAAACACACAGTTTATTGACTTGTTACCACAGAAAAGGGACTCTATACTAGTGTAATGACTGCATATCACTTAAAATATAAAAATGGAATGCAAGATTTGTGGATAAACATACAGGGAAGCAAGTGTTAAATAAAATCTTTTAAAAATATCTGGGCTTTTCTTTGAGTTAAACTAAATCACGTGGGTATGAGATCCACTCACGCTCTACAAGAACAAAGCGAGAAACCATTTTAAAATATATATTTATATCTGTATATACATGACTACTTAAAATTGTATCTATTATTCCTGTAGAAGGGCAGCTTGCGCCCGAAAGCTCGAATTGATTTTTCAAATAAAGAAACTTATCCTTCTTGAATCTATTCGTTAAAAAATATAGTGACTTCGCACAAAAAACAATGACTAGATTCATATCAAAATGAGATGTTTTAACACCACATAACAATGATGTAACGCCTCACAAACATAGCTTTGACATCACGAGACAATGTCGCCAAACATTGGAAAGAAGAAAAGAAGTGAATACCAATCCCAGTGGCGCGACTGGTCACAACCCCACCTATTGACCGATGATAAAAAAAAATGATAAAAAGAAGAATGACGTGGCGTGAGAAAGTCCTGATTAATGACCTCCCCGCTGTTTGGTCCTCGCCTTCTTTGCTGTAACATTCACATAGCACACATTGGTAATTATACTACCCTGGACCACCTCGCTGTTTTCGTGGAGTAAATTAAAAATAACTCGAAGCAAAAAATACGTCTTTTTTGGCATACCCGGGATAAGTAAAAATAAATGATCAGGTACTGGTTTTTACCTCAGGATAAGTAAGAAGACACAACCAGGTCACCTCGGGTTAAGTAATAAGACACGGCCAGGTTACCTCAGGATAAGTAAGAAAACACGGCCAGGTTACCTCGGGATAAGTAAGAAGACACGGCCAGGTTACCTCGGGATAAGTAAGACACAGACTGGTTACCTCGGGATAAGTAAGAAGACACGGTCAGGTTACCTCAGGATAAGTAAGAAGACACGGCCAGGTTACCTCGGGATAAGTAAGAAGACACGGCCTGGTTACCTCGGGATAAGTAAGAAGACACCGCAAGGTTACCTCGGGATAAGTAGGAAGACACGGTCTCTAATGGTTGTTACGTTAGGATAAGTAAGAAGACACGGCCTGGTTACCTCTGGATAAGTAAGAAGACACGGTCAGGTTACCTCGGGATAAGTAAGAAGACACTTCCAGGTTACCTCTGGATAAGTAAGAAGACACAGCCAGGTTACCTCGGGATAAGTAAAAAGACACGGTCAGGTTACCTCGGGATAAGTAAGAAGACACGGTCTGGTTACCTCGGGATAAGTAAGAAGACACGGTCAGGTTACCTCGGGATAAGTAAGAAGACACGGCCAGGTTACCTCGGGATAAGTAAAAAGACACGGCCAGGTTACCTCGGGATAAGTAAGAAGACGCGACCAGGTTACCCCGGGATAAGTAAGAAGACACGGTGAGGTTACTTCGTAATAAGTAAGAAGACACTTCCAGGTTACCTCGGGATAAGTAAGAAGACGCGGCCAGGTTACCTCTGGATAATTAAGAAGACACGGCCTGGTTAACTCTGGATAAGTAAGAAGACACGGTCTCTAATGGTTGTTACGTTAGGATAAGTAAGAAGACACGGCCTGGTTACCTCGGGATAAGTAAGAAGTAACGATCTCTAGCACAGATTGTTACGTTAGGATAAGTAAGAAGACAATACTAGGTACTTACCATCTCTAGATAAGTAAAAACAAAGCCTGTATGTAAGATAAGAGGGAGAGAGACAGAAGAAACTTCCATGAAAATATTTCCTCCATAAATCACCCACGTGGGTATTGAACAGATTCTGGGATTTAAATTAAAATTCCAATCTGGAAACCCGGCAACCGTGGTATTCGGGGAACCTCAGTTCCTCATTTGCATATCCGCATGAGCTGGCAGGATATCGTCCATTCTGGACCGAGGACCACAGGGGACTCTTTGATCCACTCACCTTGTCCAATACCCTCCGAGACCACTGGACAGCAATCAACCATCATTGCTACATGTGATCAATCCAGATTACACCTCTACATTTAGGAGTAAACCCCATCATCACCATATTAGACAATTGACAATTAAAACAATTTTATTGACATCTTGTCAATACATGCAAAGTGCACAGTTTGCACTATTTAAAAAAAGATAATATGCATTATATACACTACTAGACGCGTGACCCGGGCTTCGCCCCGGGATTGACCCGTGTGCATATCTACCCGAGTGATATATATTCAGATAGGATTTTTTTTATAATTGTTTGTTATTAGCATTATCTATTTGTTTGCATCAGTCTAATTTAATCTAATCTTTGATAGAGGGCGCTGTTCGTGAGCTAAGTAGAATAATTTGAATATATAGTTTTAAGTTTGGCATACCCGAGACATTTGGCCTATATCGACAGATGAATCAGCTTTATAATCAATATGGGCATTATACTGCAAACCTGAAAAAGGCTTATGAGTCCAAAGCTGAATACGCTAAACAGGAACTTGCATAGTTTGTGTAGCTGCGACGCGGGCTTCAGAATACCTAAGACGGCGAAGCGCACGACACGTCTCACTTTGAAGTGGTGTCTCAATAGCTCTAGCATTCCTATATCTCCTGGAAGCAGCCGTATTCCTACCAAGTAAACGTCGGCTGTGGCGAGGCATATTCTGAAAAAAAAATTAGATTGAGATTAATAACAAAAGCTTCAAAACCAGCAATTTCTAAACAAAGCATAAAAATTTCCTGTCTTTTTGAGGTAAAAATCAAAATTTTAAAATTTTTTATTCAAAATAACCTTCAGATATGTTAAAAAAGATTTTAAAAAACTAAAATCATAATATTATATTACCAAAAAATTAATGTACAAAACCAGTTATCATTAAAAAGCTTCAAAAATAGACCAACCGCTGGATACGGCAATGAAAAAGCATGCTTCTTTGAGCTAAAAAATAGAAATAATTTTCTAAAATACAAAATACAACCCCTATATGTTAAAAAAACTATAAATAATCTAAATATAAAATATTTAATCAAATAAATTAAAATATCATTAAAAAAATTTTGAAAAAGGACTTCAAAAAGACAAATAAATGAATCTGTAAAAGAAATCCCTTGTTTATTTAAAAATATAAATAACCTATTTTTTAGATACAACCCATATATGTAGAAAATATAATAAATAAACTGTATGGCATATTCTGAAAAAAAAAATTAGATTGAGATTAATAACAAAAGCTTCAAAACCAGCAATTTCTAAACAAAGCATAAAAATTTCCTGTCTTTTTGAGGTAAAAATCAAATTTTTTAAATTTTTTATTCAAAATAACCTTCAGATATGTTAAAAAGATTTAAAAAAACTAAAATCATAATATTATATTACCAAAAAATTAATGTACAAAACCAGTTATCATTAAAAAGCTTCAAAAATAGACCACCCGCTGGATACGGCAATGAAAAAGCATGCTTTTTTGAGCTAAAAAATAGAAATAATTTTCTAAAATACAAAATACAACCCCTATATGTTAAAAAAACTATAAATAATCTACTTTTAAAATATCTAAGCAATTAATTAAAATTTTGTTAAGGTCCTCAAAAAAGACATAAAATTGAGCACATTAATGAAATTTCAAGCTTTTTAGTGAAAAAAAATAGAAATAACCCAAATTATTTTTACGAAACAACCCATATAAGTGGAAAACACCATAAATAATCTGTTATTAAAATATCTAAACAATTAATTAAAAATTTTGTTAAGGTCCTCAAAAAAGGCATAAAATTGAGCACATTAATGAAATTTCAATCTTTTTTGTAAAAAATAATATAAATAACCTTAGTCTTATAAAAATACTAACCACGTAAGTTAGAAATAGCATTATATAATCTGTATATAAAATAAAAAAGAAATAAATTAAAATTAGCCTAAAAATTTATCTAAAATATAAAATTGATCTCATCAAGTAAGGCTTCAACTTTTTTTGGTATAAAATATGAAAACTATAAAATAAAAGTATCTTACAAATGTATAAAAGTTATTAAAATATATATAAAAAAGATTAAAACTAATTTTCCAAGAAGTTCAAAAGTGTAAACACTTTCGAAAAGCCTAAAAATTTATCTAAAAAATAAAATTGATCTCATCGAGTAAGGCTTCAACTTTTTTTGGTATAAAATATGAAAACTATAAAATAAAAGTATCTTACCACGTATAAAAGTTATTAAAATATATATAAAAAAGATTAAAACTAATTTTCAAAGAAGCGCTAAAGTGTAAACACTTTTGAAAGTGTAAACACTTTAACTCTGTTGAATTTTTTTGTATTTTATCGATAACAGCAAAGTTATGTATGTTAAAGTTAGGAAAAATATTTTGATGTTAAGCAAAACCTGCTCCATCTCGTTTTACATAAATGTTGAAAATTTGGTCGAAATTGATGCATTGTAACGAAAGTTTTTAGTGAACAACACTTATGAAATTTCCATTTTATTAATATAGATGTACAATGAATATGGCGCCTCTGCCAGCGCTGCAGACTTTGGTGGAGAATCACCAGCAGGTCTCCAGCGACACCACGTATTTCGTGATCTACGAAGAATACGTAGATTGCGTACTTCACCGCTGAGAAGATGGTGATGGCGTGGTCCTCGAGTTCAACTGGAAAGATCCAATTGCTTAACTTCGGTGATCAGACGAGAACCGGTGTTTTCAATGTTGTATGGCCGTAGGCATTATATAACAATATTATAAGCTTATGTACATAGGTTTACTAAACACCTCTAATCTGTTTTCCATAGAAAATGCATGGAATATTTTAATAGTAGAACGGTCTAGAAAAAAATATATCGGTGGATGAGAGGGTAACACGCTCGATTCCCGATATAAGTCGGTGGATGAGAGGGTAACACGCTCGATTCCCGATTAGGGCCTCCAATCCCGGGATCCCGGAGCCAAATAATGATCCCGAAATCCCGGGATTCTTCTCGTAAAATCCCGGGATTACTGGTTTTTGCATGAAAACCAGCGCAAAAATATATTTTTCTTATCTAGCATTTTGGTAATCAAACAGATGATGAGATAGCACACTTTTGACTTTTGTACAGCTGCATTTCGGGTCTTTTTTTTTCTGAGAGATTTGAAATTATTTTCATGCACTAATAACGAAGGGTTATTCTGAAAGATCTTTCCAAAATGGCGCCTCTAGAATGAGAGTATGCAGCAGTATACATGGAGAGGGCCCCAAGTTTTGTTGACATGCAAATAATGGCTTCTTAGATAGTAGCGGCATCCCTTTATTTTTGTGGCAGACTTGCGTGTAACATGGACCCGCCACTAACCTCTTATCTGGGCTCCAAATTGTAATATATATTATTTTTAATCTATGTTTATACTCTCCATCCTGTACTCTGTATGCATGGGTCATCATGAACGCACTGCTCTGCTGTTCATTTTGTGAAATCCTCGCTAGCTTTTTTGTCATTTAATTTAAATTAAATTTATTTAATGTCATTTCATTAAATGCTTCGTCACTATCAAGCATCAGCCTAAAGTAGATTTCAACTTATACGAACATAAAACAAAGTCTCTAAAACAATATTATCGGCCCTTGTTATTTTTCAATAGAAAACGAGTCGGACATTTTTGGTAAGCTTATCACTTTTTGATTGTGATGGCGAAGTTTATTCCTTTTAAATCAGAAGGAATCTGGCCAAAATGCACAGTGTATAGCGTGCAAAAGGATTTTGAAATGCGTCGGTGGGTCAACAAAAGGGCTGCATGTACACCAGAAGGTGGTCCACGGAATCGAAACTTCGAAGAGAAAAGTTAAAGGCGAAGTTGATACACAGACCCCTGCAAAAAAGACCCCCAAGATATCAATTCTCTATATATCATTTTTCGTTTGTTTCCATCGATCGATCGACTGATGCTGTGCTAGCTAGAATGATAGCTCTCGACGGATTGCCATTCTCCGTTTTTGTCACATCTAAGGATCTACGCAAGTGCCTCAATGCTCTTGGACATGAAATTCCTCCTTGATATTGCTGCTCAGTCAGGCAAACGAGGACCCCATTTAGAGAGTGTGTATCAATACTTGCTGACAATTCCTCCAACGTCTGTGGAATCGGAAAGAGTCTTCTCCTCCTCTGGATACCTATGCAATAAGATACGTTCTAGTTTTCATGATGACACTCTTGACAAATTATCTTTCCTACGCTTAAAAATTTCTCGAAATTGAATTTTTATCCTTAAAATAAAGTAATTCATGGTTTTTAAAACGGTGCTGTCTTCTTTCTAAACAATAATACATAGTTGGGCAAAATGCAATAATGATTACATTTTCTATAATCACAATTGCAAATAATCATGATTACATTTGCTATAATTACAATCACAAGTAATTTTAATCACAATTGCTATCATTATATATGGGCCTGGCTCATCAGTGGTAAACCCTTCTAGCGGTTTAACCAGTTTAATCTGGGAAGGTTCACCACTGATGAGCCAGGCCCTCCCATCAATTTTTCCATTGCAGTAAGGACAGTAGAAATAGTTTATTAAAAAAAAAGAATCATACGCGTCTATAATAGTTTCAAATTTTGATAATAGATGCCGCGCTAATGCATGATAATTTACTGTGTTGTTTACATGACAAACTGAAGGTTTATCTGGCTTGTATGGGGAGACAGAGATGTAAGACTTGATGTAGACTTTGCTGTCTGGGCAACGGCCTGATTCCCTAGAAGAAGAAGAGTCGCTGTAGAGAGGGAACGCATTGTGATCGGGCAGTGTCCCCAGTTCTATTTTCCTGGGTGAGGAACAACGGGGTGTGTTGAGGAGTTCCGGGAGTTGTGAGATGGCAGATCTGGACGGCAGCCGGGAGATGGCAGTTGGAGATATTGTTTCTCTGTGTGCTTCTTGTTGTTGTTGTTGTTTCTGCAACTACAGACTCTATAAACTACATATTCTATCAACTACAACTTCTCTCAACTACACCCTCTCTCAAAACTACACTCTCTTTCAACTATAACCTCTCTCAACTACACACTCTCTCAAAACTACACTCTCTTTCAACTACAAGCTCTCTCAACTACACACTCTCTCAAAACTACACTTTCTTTAAACTACAAGCTCTCTAGACTACAGCCTCTCTCTAAACTACAGTCTCTCTAAACTACAGTCTCTCTAAACTACACCTTCCCTCAAAACTACACTCTCTTTCAATTACAAGCTCTCTCGACTACACGCTCTCTCTAAACTACACTTTCTTTAAACTACAAATCTCTCGACTACAGCCTCTCTCTAAACTACAGTCTCTCTAAACTACAACTTCTCTCAAAATTACACTCTCTTTCAATTACAAGCTCTCTCGACTACAGCCTCTCTCAAAAATACAACCTTTCTAAACTACACCCTCTCAAAACTACACTCTCTTTTAACTACAAATTCTCTCAAAGCTACAGCGTCTCTAAACTACAGCCTCTCTAAACTACAATATCTCTCAAAACTACCCTCTCTTTCAATTACAAGCTCTCTCGACTACAGCTTCCCTCAAAACTACACTCTCTTTCAACTACAAATTCTCTCAAAGCTACAGCGTCTCAAAACTACACTCTCTTTCAACTACAAATTCTCTCAAAGCTACAGACTCTCTGAACTACACCCTCTATTTTAACCTACATCCTCTCTCAAACTACAACCTCTCTCAACTACACATTCTCTCAACACTATATTCGACTCTCAATTTCCCTAGACTCTGCCAACTACCTACAATCAATAACTGCGGAAATAAATCGCTACAGACCAATCACCTCAGTCACCCAATCTCAACTATTGCAAACTAAACTACACGTTGCGGCGACAAACTGAGGTGGTTTCTCCTAGAGGATTCCGAAAAAAAAAATTACTACACCCATACCTCGCTTTGCGTCGGGGTTACGTTCCAAAAAAACACGACGCAAATTGAAACGACACAAAGTGAAAATATGTGAAGGCGCAATCAAAAACAAAGGTGTTACCATATTTTAGGAAAAAAAAAATTAAAGACTTGAATCCAAAACAACGCAACTTCGAAAATCTAACGACGCACAGTGAAAATCAGTAAAAATTAAGCAGCGACGCAACTTCGAAAAAAAAAAAAAAACGCAAAACGAAACGACACAAAGCGAGGTATTGGTTTATTATAGTTTCAATTTGTTTCTTTTTTTTTTTTAATTTTAAGATATCTAGAAAAATCTCTTTTTATATATATATTTAAAAAAAGGATTGAACATTAACCTAAAAAAATAAGTCTCTTTCTTTTTGTGAATAGTGTCAGAATTCTTTAGAAATATACATGTAGTTGTTAAAATGAAGGCATAAGACTTCAATGGATATAAGTTTCTTTTTAAATTTTTAGTTCAAATCTATAGCTTTCTGCCATGAAAGTCCTTATAAAGGATTATTGAATCACGTAGTTGTGTTTGGGTAAAATATTCAAGTCTCCAGGGAAAAATATATTTTCAAAACATTTTTAATCTTTAGCTTTCTGGCACGAACGACCTTTTACAGAAAAAAACATGGTATAACATGGTAGTTGTGTTTGGTAGAATATATCTGTGATATTATTATTTTTTGACCATTAACTATGGTAAATTACTCATTATATATTTTTACTATATTTGTAAAAAAAAATGTTTTACCTAAATTAGGGTAATTTTGTTTTTAATAAACTATCTTTTAAAGGAAAAAAAATCTGCTAATTCTAAGTTTTCTTCTGACATCCTAGAATTTGGGGAGATGTTTGTATTTTCATCTATAACGGTAAAAAATATATATTTTATTTATTTGTAATTATCAGTTCACCCCACCATCTTTTTAGTAAAAACTCTTGGGGGTTATTTGTCAATATTTTTTTTTCCTTATGCGCATAACCTTCACACAAATTTACATAGTTCTTAATTAATGTTTATGGGGTTACAGCCCTCATAAATTTTCTTCAAGACATGTCGAAATTTGATATTTCCTCTTCCTATCTATGAATTCTACCTCCTCCACATACACATATATACATATAATACGCACACACACGCTCACATATACACAAACACGCACGCACATGCATACACACAATGCACACATATACACATATAACACACTACAGACCAATCACCTCAGTTACCCTCCTCAATCTTAATAATTTCAAATTAAACTACACATTGCGGCGACAAACTGAGGTGGTTTCTCTTAGAAGATTCCTAAAAAAAAAAAGTACTATTATAGTTTCAATTCGTTTCTTTTTTTTTATTTTAAGATTTATAGAAACCTCACTTTTTCGAAAAAAAAAAGGATTGAACCTCGACCTAAAAAAGAAACGCACACATCACGCACACGCGCATGTACATACATACAAATATGCACACATATATACAAATAACACACATTTACACACGTGCATACGCATACACACATACATAGGCACATACGCGCGAGCTCCGCGTATTTTGCCTCTGGCGGATGTATGAGTTCTGGCAATACGCCGAGTTTGGCACGGGCTGAAAGCCCTTCAAAAGCCGAGGAAAAGCCTGCAAGGCTCGGCTCAAAAGCACAGCCCAGTGCGGAGTTACCAGCGAGAAACGCTTTGAAGTTCAATTCTTCAATGAAATCGACGAAGAATCAAAGATATGCAAATCCGGCTACCGGCGGCAAGGATGCAAATCCGGCCGCGCCGACCGACTTTGCCGCTGCTT